TGGTGAGTGCTGTTCTTTTTCTAACTTATAAACTCATTAACTATTTACATATTAATTGTAAACCATAGGATTGAACACGATATTGAACCAACACACGAACGTCTTGTATCCGAAGGCAATACTACAAACAAAGGTCGAATGAAAACTGATGTAATTGGAGTCCGGCTTTCAGACAGTCGGCAGGTTGTTTTTTTGGAAATGAGCGGTGCTCCAACAGATTTTTTAAAGGTGCACTCAGTTGAAGACACATGTAAGACGCTTCAAGAACGAATTGATTCCCTAAACTCAATGCTTTTAAACTATTTGAATTGTGACGTAAGATTCGCAGGGAGAATTCGTTCACTTACGATTCAGGGAATTAGTGAGTATTCTTTTTCCCTTGTTTTAGATCAAAAGACAGACTTTTATTTATTGTTTTTTTAACTATTTTATCATAGGAGACCGACTAACTCTTAGAACGATATTTTTAAGAGGAAAAGATGACTATAAGGATGAAGAAGAATTTTCTGCGATTTTTCCACTTAGTTGGGACTTCCGGTTCCAATTCATTGAAATATTTGAATTGATGGAGTTCGTAATCGTATCCGTTTTAGAATATCCAAGTGTCATAAGGGAACTAATTAAGCATCCAGCAACCTCACCTGAATTTTCAATCCGAAACTGCATTTCATGTTCATAGTATTAGTTTATTTTAAAAATAGAAAAAAAAAATTATTATTATTTGTAGTAGCGTTTATGTGAATTCCAAAAATAAATCTTATTTCTTTTCACGATTAAGACTAATATAATCTTTAATCAATATAAAAAAATCCAATATACAGTATTTATATTTATATTTTTTTAAAATTAAAATTATTCAGAAAATTTATAAAAGTAATTATAATTTTAAATATCTATTTTTTTTTTTTAGTAAAGGTGTTACAATGTGCAGTTTTTATTGAATAATTATATTCAAATTATATTGCATTTTATGATTTCATGCAAACCAATATTTATACAGGTTAATTTATATCTAATACCTTATAATTCAACTATTTAATATCAAGTAAATAAACCAATGTATCAGATAGAATTACTAGAGAGCTATTAACTTAAACTATATATATTAAATGTATAAAAGTATTATATATCTTTTTTATTTTTTATTTTTTTTTTATTAAGGTGAATATGCAATAATGCATAACTTTATTGATATATAATATCTAGGCAAACATTAAGTATCTTTTATATATAAAATATATGTTAATAATTGCTACCATCTGATATCTTCTACATATATAGAATTAATACTACCTAGTACTATTTCTAATACCAGCTTATTTATCCATCTTAAATAATCCAACTATATATACTTATATCATAAAAGTAAATATATATAGTATATTAGATGGAATCTTTTTATATAAAAGATAAAAATTCTATTACTAGTTTTAAACCACTTTCCTGCAAATCCAAGCTGTAGCTATACTTGTTATAGAAAAGAACTTGTATAAAATGTTATTATAAAGATTGATTCTAATTATTCTAGTCATTTGTTATTATCAATTCTTGAGATATACAATTAGTATAATATAGTACTACTGTTTTTATTATTTGTAAAACTAATATTTTTGCTTGAATTCTAATTTAATTTTATATATCTACATTAAACTTACTTGACTTAATAATTTTTGTTTAGATTCTTATTACTTGTAATTAATATTTTGCTCTTTAACTATATATTTAAGTTTCTTTTATAGAATATTTATAGTTCTGAAAATTGGAATCAAACAAAATCACAGGAAATTGCATGAGATTTGAAACACTATTAAAAATGATAGTGGAATATACCCCACCTATTAAATTTAATATAAACTTGAAAATAGAATACAGAATCAAAAAGAATTATTAGAATTCTTAAGAATATTATAATTAGAATAAATTTACAAGCTCCAATTTAAAATAGATTGACTTAAAATTAATTTCTTTTTGGATTTTTGTTATGAAATTTGCTATGTCAATGAAAGATTAAAAATCTTTTCTTGTGTAACCTTTCTTGCTTTGACTTGCTTTTAGCCTATAATTGTATGAAAAATCAGAAGTTTTATTTTATAGTTTAATTGAATTTAGAAATTGATTTTTTGATTAATTGGGTATAATATAAATTAAAAACTAATTAATCAATTATAAAGATAGTAAATTTTTATAATTAGATAGATTTGAATATTAAATTTTTTTCTAGTAACCTATGAAGCATTATTACTATACTAGGAACCTATAAATCAAAAAGTATTTATATCCTAAATTTATTATTATATAAAAATATATATAATAATTTTATTTGAAATTTTAATATTATTTATTATATTTTAAATTTTTTTTTAACTAGTTGAACCTTGTTTAGCAAACTTTATTAAGGTCAATATTTATATATATTTGTACATAATTTTGTATATAAACTATATTATAATATTAATTGATGAGTATATGCTAAACTATATCAAGATTTTTCTAAATATCAGCTGTTGCTATCAACTTTTCCTATTGGATGAAGATTGAAACTAATATGTCAAGACATTGCTATTGTTAATATTACTAGTATATAAATAAAAAAAATTATTTCTTGTTATTTTATTTATATTTTTAATCTATTTTTCAGTAACTTTCTTGTTAAGTTTTTTTTTTTGTTATTATATTTTAAATATATATACTATATATAATTTTTATATTTTCTTAATAAATATTTATTAAATTGAATACAAATAAATTAATACTTTTAATATTTTGATTTTAAAAATATACTATTTTAATAAAAATATTATATATTTTAAAATTATTATTATATATAGATAATTATTTTTGATAACAGATCAGAAATTTTTGCTATGATTCTAAAATTAAAATTATATATATATTGTTTAAAAGTTGAATCTAAAAAAATAATATCTAGCATTTTTGTTACCTTCAAAAATAATTATCTATATAAATTTATATAATAATTATATTTTAAATTTTAATATATTATTATTATATTTTATAAAAATATATTTGTAATTTATATATATTGTTACTAAAATTTTCAAAAGTTTTATTAACTTTAAACAAATTATTATATATTATTAAATTTATTTTTTTAATTATATTTTCTATATAATATTTTTTTTTCTTTAAGAATTCTCAAAACATCTATATATGTAGTTTTGAATGGCACAGCAAATTTAAAGTGATATAGCTTAAAAATCATGTTGCAAAACTTTTTTGAAATTTTAAGCAACTATTTGCAAAAAGATTAGAAGAACAACTTTTGTTTAGACCTTAAAAGTGATTATTTTAAATAATTTTGCTTTTTCTCTTACAGATAAGAATTTTCTTTAATAATTATTTTAAGTGTAACAAATAATTCTCTAACTAATTCTTTTGTGTAAATAGATGAAATATGCATAAATAATTAGATTAAAAGCAATTTACAATTAATCAAAACATTATAAAAAGGTTGCAATTTCTCCCAGCTATAAAAAAAAAGAACAATTATTATAATTATAAAATTCTGATTTTGTTTTTTTTTTATTTTTTTTTTAATAAATTATATTTATCTCATATTTTTCTTTTATATTTTTCTATTGTTTTTCTATTGAAATTCAATTTTTATATATTGTTATTTTTTGATTCCAATATCAAAATAGAGTTATAAATTAATTGAAACAATAATTTTAAATTGTTTATATTAAATTGTTTAATAATGTTTGAAACAAAACATATGGGTAATTATTTTTGAAGGCAGACCAGAAATTTTCTGATGGGATCCTGAAATTTATACTATATATGTATTGTTTAAAAGTTGGGTTTGAAAATATCATATCTAGCATTTTTGATGCCTTCAAAAATAATTACCCATATATTGAATAAATTAAATCATTAAGAATTAAAAATTATTTTTATCAATAATTTTGAAAATTTCAATATATTAATTTATAAATTTTATCTTCTTTTGATTTTTTTTGATATTTTTTTAAATATTTTCTTTTTTTATAGGAATACTCTGTTCACTGTAAGTCTAAATTGGCACAATTCTCATTTTGTTCTCTCAAGACAGTAACAATACATATATGTATATATATAATAACTTACTAAAATAATGAATCACTTGTAAAAAATTTTTTAAACACTGATATTTTTTTTAATTATTATATAAAAAATAACTATCTTTTATATTAATATATATTAGATTTTTATTATAAATAAAAATATTATTTATTTATTTTATTGTAAACAAGTATTAAATATAAAACTTTATTTAAACAAAACATTTACTGTTATTATATTAACAATCTTTATATAATATGGGAATTATAATGACAAGTTTGTTACTACATTATAATTATTAATTGTGTAACATCAAATAAAAATGTAGAGATGTGATACAAGATAAGTGAAATTATTAAATAATAATCTGAATTGTAATTTTTAAAAAATAGTTTTATTGTTACTTGTTTTTTTGATATATTTCTTTCTTTTATATATATTAAAAAAATTTTTAAAAATCTGAAATTCTAATTAGGTAAGGATGTTATACAGTATATCAAATCTATTTAATTTTTTAACTTCTCTTATAATAATAAATTAATTATAACCTATTATAACAAGTCTACTAATATTAGATATTAAGGATCCTAATAATTCAATTAAATTCAATTCTTAATTTTTAGGTCTATATTAAATTTATTATATTGGTTATAATTCATAATCATTTTTAATAGTGTTTTGAATTTTATACAAGTTTATATAAGTCTGTTTAATTTCAATTTTTGAAATCATATTAGGTATTATTATAAAAGTAAACTTATATTAATAGTAATATTTTTTTAATATAATAATTAAAAAAAAAATTTTGACAAAAAACTCTTTCTGCTGATTCTTTTATTAATCCAAAAAACAGATGTTTTTAAAAGATTTTTTTGTTTTTTAATTATAAAGTCTAAATATTTTCTTTAATGATATATATTTCTAAAGACAAAAGCATCCCTTACTTATTTACTATTTTTTATTCAAAACTTTTTAAATAGTTCAATAATAGAACTTTCATAATTCATATATTTGATTTATAGCAAGAACATCTTACTGAAAAAAAGAAATCTATTGAAATACTTTCCTTTATTATTTCTTAAGATTTGAAATTCTAGAAAAGTCTATTATTAAATGTGAGGGCTGATAGTGAAACCTGCTGATACTAAAACATATGTAATGTAATTATGGATAGATACCCCTATTGATCTAATAAATTTGTAATTGCTTTAGATTCTGATTAATAGTTTTTTGTTTCACAGTCAAAAAAATTATACAGTGAAAGTCAATATAATGGTCTGCAATGTTGAATTATAAGTTTAATACAAACTCTTGTCGCTATACTTAATGAAATTCTGTTTTAAAAAAAATTCTGTTATAAATCAAATCTGGTATATTGACTTTTATTATGTATATACAAATTTTCTTTTAATATTTTCTTCTTCTTTCTCTTGACATTTTTTTGCATTGAGTTTATTTTGTTGTGCCAATTAAACTTTACATATTCTTATCTGATATGTGGCAATTTGTATATATGTACTTAAATCTTTCTATATGTATTTATTTCTATTTAAAAATATCAATGCTTGCTTTATATTAATCTATTTTATAACCTTGATCTGTTTAATAGAAACTCAAATATTTTTGCCATTAACTTCAATAATTGCAGTATGATTGTTAGATGTTAATAATTTGAATATACCTTGTTGAAAGAATGTCAGCTATAGTTTTCATTTTTGAGTCTTTGGATTTATATCATAATCTGGTGCAATAGCAACTGTAGTTCCAGTCTTAATTGTATTATTTGTTGATTTTTTTTTATGAACACTACCCTGCTGACATAATTTGTCACAATATTTCTCTAATAAACTATTTACAGATTGATGAATTTGTAAGACTCGTGAAATATGTTATTTAATAACTTCAGATATATTATCATCTTCTTTAGATATTTTTTGTATATTGACATTTTTCTCAAGTATTTCTTATATATTTGTATCTTCCTCAGATATTTCTTACATATTAACATCTTCTTCAAGTATTTCTTATATATTAATGTTTTCTTTAGGTATTTCTTGTATATCATTATCTTCTTCAAGTATTTCTTGTACATTGATAGTTTTCTTAGATATTTCTCACGTATCGACATTTTCCTCAAGTGTTTTTTGTATATTATTAGAAGTATCATAAACACAATGCATTTTCCAACCAAACATTACTTCATGTGGTATATAATCATGTGCTCTATGAATGGTAGAGTTATACGATTTAACTATGGTTCCGAAAATTGGAATCGAATAGAATCGAACAGAATCGCATGAGGTTCGGAACACTATTAAAAATGATGGTGGAGTATACCCCACCTATTAAATTTAATATAAACTTGAGAATCGAATACAGAATCGAATGGAATCGTTAAGATCCTTAGATTTAACAAAAGCATTAATAACATTGATTCAATCTTTTTGTTATGACTAATTATCGTTATTCCATAATAACTTGGTAAAGCCACAATTAATAGTTTGATTTAAACATTCAATTTGGCCTTGTGCTTGTAAATAACAAGAACGACCATGTCTAATTGTAATATTGAGAGTGCTACAAACTTTGGCAAGAACTTCTGCAACAAATTCTTTGCCATTATCACTTTGAAGAATAGTGGGTGGTTCAAGAATATTGAAGACGTTTTTAATAAGATGCATTGCAACGGTAAGGGCTTCTTTGTTTTTCATAGGGATTGCTACTAAAAATTTGAAAAATGTATATATATACGTAAGCAACTATATGAAACCATTATTCTATCTACGAAATCACAAAAATCAACAAGATCGATCTAAATATATTTCCATGGTGCTATTGATACAATTGAAGTCATATTAGTTTTTTTTTTTATAGAAGTATTTAAAGTACATGAAATACATTTATTCACGTAAGCTTAAACTTCTTTTTGAATAATTCTGATATGGTGCTCTGAAATGGCAGAAAACATCTTGTGATAGCTTTGATAGTTGGCCTAATCATGAAAATGTAATAAGATTAAAGTATGCATTTCTGTATCATATTTGGAAACCACCTGATGTTTTTTTGACTTAACCACTCCATCTTTTATAATAGCCCGAGTATATAGAAATTCATCTTTGTCTAATTCAAATTTTTTATAATGACGAATAAAGTTGGATTTTACTACATGATTTTGTTGAAGATCTTCAGGTATAATTTCTGCTTGAAGAAACTTAACGATAGATTTGTACTCTGTTGCTATCTCCAGAATTTTTGGAATTGACAACATTACTAAAAAAAGCTTTTAATCAATATATACATTAACAAAAGTAGATATGATACATTTTATTATACAATACTTATAGACAAAAATTCTAAATTTTTTAAGTGAAAAAAAATTTGGGTAAATTAAAACCATTGTTACACTTGATCTTCACCCAAGATCATCACTACCCCTTGTCTGATTTTCACTAGCATTTATCCTTGAAATGTTACCTATTCTAGAATAATTCTTGTATTACTATTCTTATTATTGTTTAGCACTATACTTTTCGTACTAATGTTGCTCTAGAATATTTCCTATTTTATTTATTTCTTTTTATTATTGTATCTTTGCCAGAGTATTTATTTCTATGCTAACACATATAGATAACTGTTTTGATGAATATAACACTTCTTTTATATTTCTATTATTTCTTATAACTCATAATTATCATGTACGAAAATAATATAACTCAAATATATATATAAAGGCTCCAATTTTGCCTAGGAATTGGCAGGCTTGAACATATATTTTATCAAATAAATAACTTGACCTTTGAAAAACAAATCACCATTGTCTCTTTCACCTGACCTCATATACCTCAGAACTGTATTAATTTGTACGCCTCTAGGAACTTTAGCATATCACATTGGCCCTGTTCATCTAAAGTGCCTCCCTGCTACTAGTTCTCCGTCTTTATCTTTCTCCTGAGATAGAAACGATATATGACACCGTGTAAAGCAAAGGTTAAGCAAACAATTTTTTCAAAAATTGGATGTTTTACTTAGTAAAAAGTTACATTATATCTAAATAATGTAATTTGTATAATGGAAAGTATCAGAAATTAAGAATATAATGAACATTATTAAACCAATCTATATTACGTGTGTTTCAACATCAGCAGGTTTCATTATCAGCCTCCACATTATATATATTTTTCAAGCTCCATAAGAACCTTGGATCCACTATAAGTAAATATCATTACTAAAGACAGATAGATAAGCTAGTGTTCTGATCTATAGATGTAAACATATTATCTTCTTCATTAATTAAATACTGTAGTAGTTCTTTCAAGTATATTAACAAATTTTCAAAAATTTTTGAAGAATTTTGTTTACCTTAGTTAAGGATCCGAATGATTCTATTTAGAATTGAATTTAAACGATTCAATTTGATTTGATTTGATTTAATTTTTTTATTTAAAAAATTGAATAAAATTTTAATTCGATTCGATTCGATTCGATTCTATTCAATTCTATTTTATTCGATTCAATTCGATTTGATTTTATTCGATTCGATTCTATTCGATTCTATTCGATTCAATCAATTTAATATACTGTATATATTGTTACACTTGATTTTTGCCCAA